ATCTCTGCTTATCAGATCTAGGGTTAATCAATAATTCTGACCCACCAGGAGAAAATGTACCTTATGGGTGCTAGGATACAACTGTGCCGTGGCGTCATGGAGACTCATAATAGACGTCAAATTGTGTGCGGACTGTACAAAAAATCTTATTTTTCTTTCGTTAGTTCGTAATGTAATAAAAACATTATTTAAAAACCTTTCCGCATGCATATCTACTTTCAATTCATCACACAGTATGTCTAAAAACTGTAATTATTGCATCAAATGTCATAAGTCAGAAAATGAGTCCACATGTTGGATGTCAAGTATCTCTGCAATAAATATGAATTGAAGCTTGTGAATTGTATTTTGTAGATACTGTAGTTTTAAAATATTATGAAAAGTCAAAATGTGATTTTACACCAACAAGATGGCTTATCGGCAGGTGGGACGCGGTTATTCGGAAAGCCCTTGCTTGCACAATATCCATCGACATTGAAATTGACATTGACATTGACATTAAACACTTTTAGGAAAGAGCCATCCTATTTTAACTCCCCCATTGTGCCCTTTCACTGTTGAACTAACCTGAACGGAAAGTATTATTCCCAGAGAGCTGAGAATACAATTAGTATTAGTGCCCAGGGATCAGGTCGGGGTTCGATCCCTGGCCGGGTCATACTAAAAACGGTAAACGATTGTTGTTTCCCTGCCTGGCGTGAAGCAGTATAGGGAATGTCACAAGGATTGTCCAAGGTCTTGTATTGTATTATGCCCTATTTCACCTCACAAAACCTCAGTGCATCTTAGGTTTCAGTGTTAAAATGAATTCCCCTAGCTCTGAACAGTAACCTTTTGTTCTCGATATGGAGGGGGAAACGAGTGAATCACACGTTAAATGTTGTATGAATGCATTCAGTCACCCTGCCTTTCAAAACTCCAAGGATGTGTGCACGCTCACTATTAATTAGCAGTCATGGTATCAAGAATTTAGACAGTTGTGTTTGTGTGCGAAGATGATGTATACTGAACGACAACATAAACCCGAATAATGAAAACAATGTTTCAAACTGCAAATGTTTTCGTCACTGATGTCATAAAAGCCAGCTGCCTTAACTCCTTATGACACCGGTGATGTACTAAATCCACAGCCATTAACCTTGTCAGCTTGCACCCATTTGATGTGTATCTGTAATGTTTCTGTTGATTCTGTTTTACTGGTACGTTAATATTAACTTCATGTGGAGGCGTCATTCTGGAAATTCGAAGGCCTGCAAACGGGTAACCGCGAGCTGGAAATACCGCTATCTGCAATACCTGAACTTTGAGCCGGAATCATCGTTCTCGAGCTTTGTTGGTACCGTATGTTTTGTGACGTGTGAATATTAAAAGTGCTGAATCTTCTTACTTTCCTTGTCAACAACATCTAGCTAACACCCACCATCACACCAGCCGTGGCAGTAGTCTTGACAAGACTTGGGTGCTTCATTTTCTCGACCTTGAAATTTATTTCTATTTCAATGGATTCTCCTCTGGTGTATATTATTATACTGCTTCCCTGTCTTGACCTTACACACGCCCGTAACTTACGAACAATAAACTGATATTTTGCAGCTTATACTCTCATTGTTGTCATCCCCGCAATGAACCGTCAGATATTAAGGTGTTTTCTGGTATGGCCGCTGCAAAATGTAATATATTGGGATCTCAAATGGCATCCATATTGAATTTTAATTATGCAAATATAAGTGTGCGGTACATCTTGTGTTGTAAGATTGGTATAAATTTATGCTAGTATGTAACTTTAAGTCTGATCTCATTTTAACCTTTATTGTAACTCAAACAGTATTCAAGTTAGTCTCATCTTAGTTTCCGCGAAGGTAGCTCTCTTGGTCACATATAATAAAGATCCAAACGCAATAATGTCATCTGTAACGCCAAATCAATATAATACATCAAGAACGTTTACCAGGAACATTTACTTTGATAACAATGCACTTAAATAGCTGCAAGGGCGGTTAATGTTGGTAACGATTTTATCCCCCGGTCGGTTAGGTTCAGTGTGACCATGAAACGAGGGGACCAGATTTGCACTGGGAATGATATTTGTCCATGGTCTATTTTTTTCACGTGACTTGTTGATGGTCATGTAATGCCTTAATCCGTTCTCACAGTCTTGTTCTCGACTGACAGTGCGCTACAGCATCTTTATTATGTCAATGTTTATGATACTTTCACGCGATCTAGTCGATGAATGTATTTGGCCGATACCTGTTATGGGGTATGGTATGTTGGTGAACGGCTGACAGTTACTCTGTACAGGGATGTATTGTAAGCATACAGAGAGCTTTGTATGCAACCCAAAGCAGCTTAAGAATTAATTGTTTGTTAAATCAATTTGCACATTACGTCACATGCCCTTTTAACCCTTTCACATGAGATAAAGCACGTTAATACAACATAGTGTAAACTGTGATATTGGGAAGCTTTGACAATTTGATTAGTACTGTGGTAAAACACATACATGCTATTTCTAGAATCACACATCAGACACCTCATAGTCATGTTAAACAACATGATCAGGGGAATCAGGTGGCCCCCCCGTCTGGGGCCCGCAGTTGGCTGTACAGAGATGCGTCCTATAGGCGTGCCAAAAACCTATAATCGTAGGTTCGAATTCCAGAGTCACCCTGCTTATGTTTCTAGGTTTTTCTGGACAATTTCCGTGCTCGTAGATTTCAACACACACACACAGACACACAGACACAGACACAGACACACACAGACACACACAGACACACACACACAGACACAGACACACACACACACACACACACACTGGTATTGTGCTATCCCACTGAGATACCATGCCGCAGTTTAACATAAATACCCTATTCAGACACAGTATACTGAATCCGAGTCGACCAGTCCTTGATTTATCCCCTTAATGCCGAGCGCCAGGCGGGGTAACAACATGTACCATCTTTTAACGTCTTTCGGAATGACGCGGCCGGGGATCGAACCGCCATAAAACATTCAAATACAGGCTATTTCGCGGCTTCTTTCTGGGCTCTAAAACAGCGATATTCTTTTAGTTAATATGCAGATCAGTTTTTGTTTTAAGAATCACACAAACACTGGATTGAACAGCTCCCACGTGTCTACCACATAATGTAAATCATTGTCATGTTGCATAGTCCTCTCGAGGTAAAATGACACCCATGAGACAAGAAAGTCAACTTAAAGAAATAAAGATCTGAAAGCAACTGCTATACAAGATTTTATTTACCAAGTGCAATGGACCTAATATACACAAACAAAACAGTTTTGTTGAAAGGAAAATATCTCCATCTCTTTTAAAATTATTGAAATCTAAAGTAAATGCTCTTGTCTTACATATATTAAAGTCTTTGCTCTATTCGCTGAACAAAGTGGTTCAAAATTTTGCGCAAACTGCGTGCGCATACCGGATGTGTAGAAGGGTCACCGCTGTGATTCAGCAACAATGAGGTTACACATGATATGGAACGTTTGTCACATGTTTCTCGTTATTACGTCATAATGTGTTATTCATCATGTGATGTGCTCTTCATCAGCCCAATGATTTCAGGGGAAATGCGTATTTACCCGTTTTGTTTGTTTGTTTGTTTGTAGTTTAACGCCGCTCTCAGCAATATTTTAGCAATATGACGGCGGTCTGTAAACAATCGAGTCTGGACCAGACAATCCAGTGATTAATATCATGAGCATCGATCCAAGCAATTGGGATCGATGACATTCATCAACCAAGTCAGCGAGCCTGACCAACCGATCCCGTTAGTCGCCTAGGCCTTTTACGACAAGCATAGTCGCCTAATACGGCAAGCATGGGTTGCTGAAGACCTATTCTACCCCGGATCTTCTCGGGTCGGTGTCATTAGGAGTTAAGGCCGTTGGCTGTTATGACATCAAGGACCAAAACATTTGCATTTTGAAACATTGTTTTCATTATTCGTGTTTATGTTGTCGTTCAGTATACATCATCTTCGCACACAAACACAACTGTCTAAATTCTTGGTACCATGACTGCTAATTAATAGTAAGCGTGCACACATCCTTGGAGTTTTCAAAGGCAGGGTGACTGAATGCATTCACACAACATTTAACGTGTGACTCACTCGTTTCACCCTCCATATCGAGAACAAAAGGTTACTGTTCAGAGCTAGGGGAATTCATTTTAACACTGAAACCTAAGATGCACTGAGGTTTTGTGAGGTGAAATAGGGCATACTGTAACGACGCGTGTAAGATTATTTCACTTACATATCTACACATTGTACTGACTTTGGGACAATCCTTGTGACATTCCCTATACTGCTCCACGCCAGGCAGGGAAACAACAATCGTTTACCGTTTTCAGTATGACCCGGCCAGGGATCGAACCCCCGACCTTCTGATCCCTGGGCACTAATACTAATTGTATTCTCAGCTCCCTGGGAATACTACTTTCCGTTCAGGTTAGTTCAACAGTGAAAGGGCACAATGGGGGAGTTAAAAATGGGAGGGAATAGTTTCACGAGTGACGTAGCCTAAAACAATCATTATTTCTATCATACGTTGTATAGGGTAGTACACAAGAAAGAAACTTATTTTCAAGGTATTAAATTAGAGAGTTAGTGAGTTTGTTGAATAGTATTTCAGATATATCATGGCATGTCAGCTTGATTTGTGAGGGAAGCTGGTGATGCAAGATGTTTACCTTTGGGTGAAACCCAGGAGCACGAGTATGGATTTGCCACCAGGAAACACAACCAGGGTATAAATTACATTATCTTTTGACAGCATCCGCTGAGTTCTTAAGGCGTCGCGATTAGCTGTGCATAGTTGCGTTCCTTGGGCACGCCAGAAACCTATGATTGTGGGTTCGAATCCCGGTTCGCCCCGATTATGTTTCTAGGTTTGTCAGCACCATACCCGTGCTCGTGGGTTTCACCGAAATGGTAAACGTCTGAGACCTGCATCACTTCGGGCTTTCCCCCCACATTAAGCTGACACGCCGTGATATAACTGGAATACATTAAAAGCGGCGTTAAACTCAACTAACTCACTCACTCAAGATGAAGCCAATCCGCACCTATGCTTAATGCTGTACATTCTTCCCATAACCCGATCAAATTTGCATCTCATTTTTAATGCATGAACATTCTAAGTCTTCATTTCACAGATGTAAAAGTAATCATAGCCGCAGGGGTTGCTCTTCCATCCGGATCCGATGACGAATCCAGCACAATCCTGGTTTCCGGGGTCGTTGGGTTGTCCCAGCATCCATGATTGGTACACCATCGGCTTTCCATCTATCCACATCCATGTGCCCTCGACAGCTCCATCAGTCGCCCCGAACCACAGCAATTTGGTCGTATAGCCTGACGAGTAGCAACATGGATCAATATATATTTCCACAAGGCGATACGCTTACACAATAAAACACACAATAGCATTGCAATGAACGATCCTGTCAATCAAAACTAACGCATGTTTTCAGTTTGAACCAACCGGAAGGTTGGGTGCGATTCGCGTATATGTCGGAATTACTTCCGGGGTCAAAAGATGGTTCTGAAGCGATGAGCTTATGGTTTGTGCAGAAGTAGATCAAGGCATGTGGTAGGCCTAAGGGTCATTTAAATGTCACCACCATCTTCACAGAGTTGGTTTGTTGTTTAACGCCGCACCCAGCAATATTCCAGCTATATGACGGCGGTCTGTAAATAATCGAACCTGGACCAGACGATCCAGTGATTAATATCATGAGCATCGATCCAAGCAATTGGGATCGATGACATGCATCAACCAAGTCAGCGAGCCTGACCACCCAATCCCGTTAGCCGCCTCTTACGACAGGCATAGTCGCCTTTTACTACAAGTATGGGTTGCTGAAGACCTATTCTACCCCGGATCTTCACGGGCCCATCTTCACAGGGACCGCCCTTTGCTCAAATGTGAGGATTTGCACTTTTGCACATACGTATATGTATATTCAAATGATAACAATGTAAATGACAACAAGTAAACATCTTTATCATAAATTCATATTTTGGAGTTTGATAAGTAAGTACAATTTTAGGATATAGGAGTACTTAAAGAATAAATATCGAATAAAGGATCGAATAAATATCAATAAATATTTTTATGAGATGTGGCAAGCGAATGTATTGATATCCAGAAATTGATTTCAAAATACCATCAGTCGGATGGTGACATCAATGAAAGTGTTATTGATTAAGTATAGATGAGACTCTTAATTGATACAAACCCGAAAAACAGCTCCCATATACACCCCATCTAAACGTTTATATACAGCTACTTCACAATCTAACAAACACTTTCACAACAGCCAGATAATATATATCTCGTTTAAACCTTTTATATACAGCTTCTTTACAATCTAACTGACACTCTCACAACAGCCAGATAATACACTCCCCATCTAAACGTTTATATACAGCTTCTTCCCTATCTAACTAACACTCTCACAACAGCCAGATAATATACTCTCCATCTAAACGTTTATGTACAGCTTCTTCACAATCTAACTGACACTTTCACAACAGCCAGATAATACACTCCCCATCTAAACGTTTATATACAGCTTCTTCACAATCTAACTAACACTCTCACAACAGCCAGATAATATTCTCCCAATCTAAACGTTTATATACAGCTTCTTCACAATCTAACTAACACTCTCACAACAGCCAGATAATATTCTCCCAATCTAAACGTTTATATACAGCTTCTTCACAATCTAACTGACACTTTCACAACAGCCAGATAATACACTCCCCATCTAAACGTTTATATACAGCTTCTTCACAATCTAACTAACACTCTCACAACAGCCAGATAATACACTCCCCATCTAAACGTTTATATACAGCTTCTTCACAATCTAACTGACACTCTCACAACAGCCAGACAATATTCTCCCAATCTAAACGTTTACATACAGCTTCTTCACAATCTAACTAACACTCTCACAACAGCCAGTTAATATTCTCCCAATCTAAACGTTTATATACAGCTTCTTCACAATCTAACTGACACTTTCACAACAGCCAGATAATACACTCCCCATCTAAACGTTTATATACAGCTTCTTCACAATCTAACTAACACTCTCACAACAGCCAGATAATATATATCTCGTTTAAACGTTTATATACAGCTTCTTCACAATCTAACTGACACTCTCACAACAGCCAGATAATATATATCTCGTTTAAACGTTTATATACAGCTTCTTTACAATCTAACTAACACTCTCACAACAGCCAGATAATACACTCCCCATCTAAACGTTTATATACAGCTTCTTCACAATCTAACTAACACTCTCACAACAGCCAGATAATATTCTCCCAATCTAAACGTTTATATACAGCTTCTTCACAATCTAACTGACACTCTCACTACAGCCAGATAATACACTCCCCATCTAAACGTTTATATACAGCTTCTTCACAATCTAACTAACACTTTCACAACAGCCAGATAATATATATCTCGTTTAAACCTTTTATATACAGCTTCTTCACAATCTAACTAACACTCTCTAAACAGCCAGATAATATATATCTCGTTTCAACGTTTATATACAGCTTCTTTACAATCTACCTAACACTCTCACAACAGCCAGATAATACACTCCCCATCTAAACGTTTATATACAGCTTCTTCCCTATCTAACTAACACTCTCTAAACAGCCAGATAATATATATCTCGTTTCAACGTTTATATACAGCTTCTTTACAATCTACCTAACACTCTCACAACAGCCAGATAATACACTCCCCATCTAAACGTTTATATACAGCTTCTTCACAATCTAACTGACACTTTCACAAAAGCCAGATAATATTCTCCTAATCTAAACGTTTATATACAGCTTCTTCACAATCTAACTGACACTTTCACAACAGCCAGACAATATTCTTCCAATCTAAACGTTTATATACAGCTTCTTCACAATCTAACTGACGCTCTCACTACAGCCAGATAATACACTCCCCATCTAAACGTTTATATACAGCTTCTTCACAATCTAACTGACACTTTCACAACAGCCAGATAATATTCTCCTAATCTAAACGTTTATATACAGCTTCTTCACAATCTAACTGACACTTTCACAACAGCCAGATAATATATATCTCGTTTAAACGTTTATATACAGCTTCTTTACAATCTAACTGACGCTCTCACAACAGCCAGATAATACACTCCCCATCTAAACGTTTATATACAGCTTCTTCACAATCTAACTGACACTTTCACAACAGCCAGATAATACACTCCCAATCTAAACGTTTATATACAGCTTCTTCACAATCTAACTGACACTTTCACAACAGCCAGATAATATATTTCTCGTTTAAACGTTTATATACAGCTTCATTACAATCTAACTGACACTCTCACAACAGCCAGATAATATTCTCCCAATCTAAACGTTTATATACAGCTTCTTCACAATCTAACTAACACTCTCACAACAGCCAGATAATATATTCACCATCTAAACGTTCATATACAGCTTCTACACAATCTGACTAACACTCTCACAACAGCCAGTTAATATTCTCCCCATCTAAACGTTTATATACAGCTTCTTCACAATCTAACTAACACTCTCACAACAGCCAGATAATATATTCACCATCTAAACGTTCATATACAGCTTCTACACAATCTGACTAACACTCTCACAACAGCCAGATAATATACTCCCAATCTAAACGTTTATATACAGCTTCTTTACAATCTAACTGACACTTTCACAACAGCCAGATAATATTCTTCCAATCTAAACGTTTATATACAGCTTCTTCCCTATCTAACTAACACTCTCACAACAGCCAGATAATATTCTTCCAATCTAAACGTTTATATACAGCTTCTTCACAATCTAACTGACACTCTCACTACAGCCAGATAATACACTCCCCATCTAAACGTTTATATACAGCTTCTTCACAATCTAACAAACACTTTCACAACAGCCAGATAATATATATCTCGTTTCAACGTTTATATACAGCTTCTTTACAATCTACCTAACACTCTCACAACAGCCAGATAATACACTCCCCATCTAAACGTTTATATACAGCTTCTTCACAATCTAACTGACACTCTCACAACAGCCAGATAATACACTCCCCATCTAAACGTTTATATACAGCTTCTTCACAATCTAACTGACACTTTCACAACAGCCAGATAATATATATCTCGTTTCAACGTTTATATACAGCTTCTTTACAATCTACCTAACACTCTCACAACAGCCAGATAATACACTCCCCATCTAAACGTTTATATACAGCTTCTTCACAATCTAACTGACACTCTCACAACAGCCAGATAATACACTCCCCATCTAAACGTTTATATACAGCTTCTTCACAATCTAACTGACACTTTCACAACAGCCAGATAATATATATCTCGTTTCAACGTTTATATACAGCTTCTTTACAATCTACCTAACACTCTCACAACAGCCAGATAATATTCTCCCCATCTAAACGTTTATATACAGCTTCTTCACAATCTAACTGACACTCTCACTACAGCCAGATAATACACTCCCCATCTAAACGTTTATATACAGCTTCTTCACAATCTAACTAACACACTCACAACAGCCAGATAATATATATCTCGTTTCAACGTTTATATACAGCTTCTTTACAATCTACCTAACACTCTCACAACAGCCAGATAATACACTCCCCATCTAAACGTTTATATACAGCTTCTTCACAATCTAACTGACACTCTCACAACAGCCAGATAATACACTCCCCATCTAAACGTTTATATACAGCTTCTTCACAATCTAACTGACACTTTCACAACAGCCAGATAATATATATCTCGTTTCAACGTTTATATACAGCTTCTTTACAATCTACCTAACACTCTCACAACAGCCAGATAATATTCTCCCCATCTAAACGTTTATATACAGCTTCTTCACAATCTAACTAACACTCTCTAAACAGCCAGATAATACACTCCCCATCTAAACGTTTGTATACAGCTTCTTCACAATCTAACTAACACTCTCACAACAGCCAGACAATATTCTTCCAATCTAAACGTTCATATACAGCTTCTTCACAATCTAACTGACGCTCTCACTACAGCCAGATAATACACTCCCCATCTAAACGTTTATATACAGCTTCTTCACAATCTAACAAACACTCTCACAACAGCCAGACAATATTCTTCCAATCTAAACGTTTATATACAGCTTCTTCACAATCTAACTGACGCTCTCACTACAGCCAGATAATACACTCCCCATCTAAACGTTTATATACAGCTTCTTCACAATCTAACTAACACTCTCACAAC